GTCATAAAAGTCACGAATAAACATTTAGTTAACATCTTTTATTTTATTTAAGACATATCAGTGATGATGTAGGAATACCTATTTTGCTGAAAAACTTAAAAAATAAAAATACAGGGTCATACCGTAAATGTATTCACAATTAAAAATTTTAGAGAACTAATATTATAGAATTTTACATTTCATGGAAGTTTTAGGTTGACAAAATATAATGCTCAGCTGCAAACATTTTAAAACTCATTGCTAAAATGGACAATAAAACAAATTTGAATGGTTTTTATGCAAATGTGTACACGCTTTTTAAAATTATTCAGCAGTTTGAATTGTTCAATACAGTTGTTTATTTGGTTTCCTATAAGGGCTCAAAGCAGTCACATACTTAACTGAAAATTTTCATGATAGTATTCTTTTTGAAAGAATGATTGAGAAGAAATCATTCATCATTCATCATTCACCAATTTGATACAAAGGGTATCAAAACTGTTTGCTTATGTTTGTAGCATTAAGATTTTTTGTTTTATTTTTATGTTATGTGACACTAAATCTATTTTCTGGCCTATAATTTTAGTGATATACTTATAATGAAGTTGAAATAAAAAGCTAATAAATTTAATTAAACATTATGTGCTTGACATTTTGGTAAATAGTTAAAGCTTCTGATTGTACTAATTGAATATTTAGCCTTTTGAAAGGTAAATATATGTCAGGGTATGTAAAGCTGTGGCCTCTGGCTTGTTTGGTTGTGATTTGTGGAATGTTTCCACAAATTGAAATATTAAAGTGTTTTTTATTCACTATTCTACAACTTTGATGCAACATTGTGAAAGTGTTAGAAATGTACAAAAGTACATATCATACTGTTTTGTAAAAGCAGACAGTCATGTCGGCAAAGAACTGCACTTCCTGGGACAAACCTTTTGTTTTGTTCTAAATCTATAATATTTTAATGTGTCTGTCAGGATGTAAGCATACAACTTAAAAATAACTATTTGTACGACAATCTTTTGATGAACATGTTTAAAATATATTGTCACATTTTTAGACTGGTCTTTGAAATAGTTACAAGATCACAGTGTAAGATGGCTAAATCTCTCCAGAATATCAGACCTCAATAACTCCTATGGAACTTCATGAGGCAAGACCATAAGAATTGCTATGCAATGCTACAATGGACTTTCTGATCTGAGAAGTGATGAAGAAACCAGCTGTTCAACTGTTCTATTCAAATTTTATCTGTGGACTGTACGCTACACATATCCCCCCTTTGCAACGAAGGAGGTTCGAAGAAAACCTCGTTGGTTGAGATCTAACTTGACGTACAGGATGGGTTGGAGATGAGTTTCCTTCGACCTCCGTTGCTGGGTCGACGAGTCGTGGCTTAGACTCAAGCAGTGTTGACCTGGTTTCTTCATGCTTTCCCCCCCCCTTCCTGGTTTAACGCAGGAAAGGTTTGAGGGGGAGGTCAGGGGTGCACTTGTCCACTGGTGCTTGCATCTTATTGAATGGCAAAGCCCTTGTTAATGTGTGCTTCCCGGCTGTTGGGAGGCACGGAGTGGTAGTTGTCCCGCAGTTTTCCAGAGATGAGTGATAGAGGAGTATAGTTGTGAGGTTGCAGTGGTCTTCTGGTGCGACTGAGGTACAGGATCGTGGCTGCATCCTGTGTAGAAAAGGAAGAGAGAGAGAGAGGGAACAGGGGAGAGAGTAGGTGGTGTCTGTGATGACTGTGCTTGGCTGGGCATTCCACTGACACCGGTTGCAGGGTCTCTACCCCCTTTCCTGGCTTGTAGTCCAGTGTTTGTTACTCTGGTTGTGATACGTAGGTTTGAGGGTTGGCTGCTATGCAGCTGAGCGTACACAACCAGGAGTCTTTGCCCTTCCTGTGTGATGTTGGTAGTGCAGGGGGGGTGCCTCTGTCTAAGTTGTTTACATCATCAGAAGATATGCCATGGTCTGGGCTGTGTCGTCGGTGCTGAGAGACACTCTACCCACATGTTGTACTGGCATATGAGTTTAAGGGGAAGAGAAAGCGAAGGAGAGAGAAACACAAAAAAAAAAATTGTTGCTCCTTGTGAGCCCATGGAAGTGTCCCGCCCGATCCATTTGGGTGTCTGATCATGAGAGGATGGTTCCTCTGTGTTGCTGTGGTGCTCGGTGAATCAGCGCCCTGGGCATGTTTTGCTGTGTGCAGGGTCAGTACATTAGCATTACCCCCCTCTGGCTCTGAGGCAGCACGAACTGTGGTGTCGTGGGGTCTTCAGGGACAATCCAAAAATGATTCACACGCGCCTGTTTTTTAAGATGTAGGAGGTGTTGAGTAACATCTGCGATGAAGTTGAGGTCAGAAAGAAGGATCGGGTGGTAGGTGGGGTGAGTGGTGGAAAAACAAACAAAACAAGAGAGAAAATGAAAGTAAATATAAAACTGGTCTGACATGAGGAGTCAGACGCCTACGTGTTCGCAATGTTGTTTGTCGACATTTGTCAGGCTGGTGAGATTGGATGTGGCAACTGTGTTCGGTTAGGCAGGGTTGTTGGCTGCCGGTTACAGCAGCCAGATCTCTGGGCTTTGGTAGGATGGTGACCATGGTCCACCGTGTGATGCGCCTTCTTGGTAAGGGCATCGGTCCAGTCATTCAGGTCTTTGTCAGTGCCTGAAAGTTTGAACTGTTCTTATCTTTTTTCTGTAGACGACCATGATGTGGTTGTCAGTGTTGTGGTCGCCTACTTGGGAAAAGAAAAAGTGTTGATGTTTCACGGGCTTGTGGTGGGCAGTTCTGAAGCCTTTTGTTTCAACCCTGGAAGGTGGAACGTGAAACAGAGTCTAGCAAGTTGGAGTCTGTGCAGCTAAGTGCACTCTGATGTCATGGGCTGCTGTGCTTTGAAGGGTTACAATGGTGGCTGCCATTTCTGCATACTGCGGTGGTTGTGGGAGCATCCATCGACACTGGCTGTAGGCATACCTTGGCACGCATTCTCATCCCAGTACTTGGAGTACTTGAATGACAGGTTGGCAGAGGTGGTTGGGGTTCCTCCTCTACGGCGTTGCAAATGGTCTGTCAGTTGTACAGTCTTGGTAAACAGCTAGGCTGTTACCCAGCGTGGATTTGTGGCTTAAGGTGTAACGCGTGTCAATACAGTGGCCCTAGGGGGCCATCGGCCGCATGGCCATACTGGCGTTAGTCTTTATGCCATCCCGGATGTGCTGACTGTTCAGTAACATGACAGGTTGGTGGCAGGTGTCTATGATGGCTTTTGTGCTCCAAAGAAGTGGGAGAATAGCTGTTGAAATGGCACCCACTGTCTTAGTATTTGCCTTCTGGCGCAAGGAGTGTCTTACTTGCATATGCCCAGACATTGTCTCAATTCAGTCGTGGCCAGCTGTTGACCTTCCGTCAAACAGAAGGACAGCCCTTTTTGAACATGGTGGTCACGGGTCTAGAAGTATTTGAAAAGTTCTTAATGATGTGTTTGGAGTAGTTGCACCCACTTAGGGAGCTGCTCAGTTCGGAGACCTTGCTAGGCGGTAGTCTTTTGCGCTAGCCAAAGTCAAATGTTGTAGGACATGGTCTGTCTCCTTTGAGTGGCCAGACACGGGGGTACTTTTATTAAGGATGTCATCAACGTAGATGAGGTTGCCTCTAACATAAGCATCGGGATATGCTTTGTTCAGGAGGGTGTTGCTTTCAGCTGGTGAGTTGGCCTAGCCGACGGGGCACCTCATGATTGTTTAGTGTCTGTTGTTCATGGTGAAAGCTAGCTTATGCTGGTCATTTGGATGTACAGTTATCGTCCAGAAGGCGGGGACCACATCAAGCGTTGAGAAGATGGTTGGTCCTTGATTTCTGGGCACTTCCTGTTCCAGTGGTGTCATTGGCCCTCATGACAATGCATTTGCTGATTTAGCTTTCTATAGCCAGGCACCCTTTGACGTTTGGCTTGAGGACGGGCCAGATGGGTGCAGAGTAGGTGTTGTTGTATTGACAGATGTCCTTTTTCCACCATGGAGTTGGGTATTTCCATGTGAAGGTCAGTGGGACTTGCAGTCTAAAGAGTTTTTAGTGAGGGCACCGTTGTAGTCATACAGGATGTGCTGACGTTTGTCGGTTGGCATCATCCTGCGTGGCCTCAGCATGTCTGTTCTGTTGAGGAGAGTGCCCTGTCTTCATCCATGTTAGTGATAGGGTGACGAGTGGCTGGGCACACGGCAAGGAGTTAGTCCTCTGTGAGCTCACTTCTGCCTACCGGTTCTTTGTTTACTGGTAAGACAGACGTGAGTGTGGCGAGCTGGAATTGAACAGTATAGTCTGTGTTTTCTAAGCTCCCCTCTGGTGTTGTTGCATGTAGGGTGAGGCCAATAATTGGCCCAAGAGTTCAAAGTAATGGAACTCGTAGCTGACCAATCGTCCCAGTAGGTAATCTTTGGGGATTTTTATGTCAGTTGCCATGCAGCTATTACACAAGACATATACTGTTCATGAGGACAGTTCAATTTAGAGTATGGCTTCCAGGATGAAGCCCAGTTTTATGCCTTCTGTTGTTGGTTGGAAGAAAAACCCAATGTGTGGTTTAGAGTTCGGCCTTTTGTATGGAGAGCCATATAGAGCACCTGTTTGTATAGGCTGGCACCACAGAGTCTTGTTTGATGATGACAGAGCAGGCCTCTGGCATGGTCTGGCCTGAGTGGGGCTTCTTGAGGGTGACAGCCATCGTTGTTGGCTGTGAAAAGTGTGGGTGCCTATCACCGGTCGTTAAAGGTGTCTATATATATATTATATTTGAGGCCTGGGGCAGCAAGCGTTGGGGTTGCTAGCTGGTTTGAAGGCTGCAGAGTAGCGACCTTGACCCGTCTATGTTGTTGAGTTCGGGTTCTCGCGGGTTCCAGCAGTTTTCCGCGACCTCAGGTATGTGCCCATTGGCAACGGGTACACGGGGTGCACTGCAGTCATGGGGACAGTCGTTACTTGAATGGGAGCGATGTATGTGAGTTGAACCTCAGTTTGGCTCATGATTTGCACCATCAGCCTGCCTGGTTGGCATTTAAGTGTTCGTTTTAGTCTCTGAGCTCTTGCTTTGAGTTACTCAAACAGGTGAGGTGGATTTTGTGCTCTTTGGAGTGTGAAGTTAATCTATATATTCAGGTTATATGTGTATAATCTGCTTGTAGACTTGCATACCATTAAAACAATTTGAAAGGGGAAATGGCCTGAGGAAACAACTAGGGGTCATAAAAGAAGGGATGAAAAGAGAGTGGTAAAAGAGCCTGAGGTGTCTCAGGAAACAGATGTCAGAGGTGGTATTTGGGGTCAGGGGTTAAACTAGGAGGTATCTTGTGTAATATATGGAGAACAAAGGAAAACAACGGATGTAAAAGGGTATTTAAATAAGCCAAGAACAGGAGTGAGGCAGAATTTTTCAGACAGAGATGCTACTGGGGGTCTCCTGAAAGTTCTCCTTTGTTGTCGACAATAAAGTATATTCTTCTGATATTCATAACCTCCAGACTGAGTTTGATTTAGTAAGAGAATAACCAAGAAAACCACCACATTTGGCGTCCCTGGGTGGGCTGGAAAGGAGCAGGACTGGTGTTGCTGTGCATGCTGGACTGGAGAGAAAACACAAATATGTGGCCACAATAAAAAACGGTAAGCGATTTTATGCTTATTAGTTTGTGTTTTTTCTGCCAGGACCTGCTTGTACAGGTAAATACACTTGAACTGTTTCTCCAGCTTTAAAGAATTAAAAGTAAATGTAAAAAAGATATTAAAGAAAAAGGGGTTTTGAATAACAGAAGAAAAATAATTTGCATGCAAATGATCTGTGTTTTCCTAAGAGGGCCTTGATGGATAGGATAAACATTAACTAGTAACTGTTACTCAGATTTGGAAAATTATTAATGATATAAGATATGCATAGAGCATTTATAAGTTTTAAGAGAGGGTTCTTAATGTGTGGTGACAGTTAAGAGATTAAAGCAGAGTAAGGTATGCAAATGATCTGTGTTTTCCTAAGTGGGCCTTGATGGATAGGATAAACATTAACTAGTAACTGTTACCCAGATTTGGGAAATTAATAATGATGTAAGAAATGCATAGAGCATTTATAAGTTTTAAGAGAGAGTCCTTAATGTGTGGTAACAGTTAAGAGATTAAAGCAGATTAAAGTAGAGAGATGCGCGCTAAGACCTACGATACCGCTTTGTTAAATGAGATAAACAAAGGGCTGCATGGGTAGGCGAAAGCCTGTGGTTACCGCTCTAAGGTTAGAGGGCTGCTCGGACAGGTCACTCAAGAGGAGTGTAGTGTAGAGTATTTATTTAATTGAAGTGTTTGTGTATTTGCTGCTTCAGATTGTGGCAAAATAGTCCACATTGGTGGGCAGAGAAGACTGCCTTCCTCCTCCTTGAATGGAATGAGGATGGGGGGATGCAGCTCCTGTTACACTGAGTGGAGGAGAGGAGTGAATGAGAAGAGGAAAAGTAATAAGATTAGAAGTGTGAATGTGTTTAAAAGTATGTTTTCAATAAGGAGTAGGTTAAAATAATGATTATAGTATATTATAATATAAAAGGAGGGCTGCATATGTGTGGTGTGATTTAAAGAACAATAGGACTAGTGATTGATGCAGTTTAAGAGAAGAGATTATGATATAAAGAGAGGAGTCTCTTAAATCAAAACTAATGGAACATGTTGCATTTGAAAGACACAGAGTAAAAGGCAGAATAATATAATAGTTAAACATTTTTCTGAAATTATCTTTGTGTTTTAAGGTTGAATATGTTAAAAAAAGAACAATAGGCAGAGTGAACTGAAATTCCTGACATAACAATAGGTGAAAGACAGTCTGCTTCAGGATGGGGGTAAGAGAGAGATTTATGGTGTCCATGTGTGAACAATAGATTGCCTATTTACAGCACTAGGGAAACAGAGAAGAGGAGAGTTAATGAGAGGAGATCAAACTATAGATGAAATAATGACATAGACATTAACATAATTTGGATAGAATATAAGTTATTACTGAATAGATAAATTATAAAGTAGTATAGTAAGATAAATTAAATGAGGAAAAACTAATAATAGAGTTATATTATATAGAAAAGAGTTTGAAACTTTACTAATGAAAAAGAATAAATGAAGTCATAGTGATCAATATATATAGAGATAAAGGAAGTATAGAGTAAAAGAATGTATTAATAAACAAATAGATTTACTAAATAAGTATGAATAAATAACATATAAGTTAGTTCTTTGATTGAGAATAAAATAGAAAAAGAAAACTTGAAAAATAAATAGTGATTAATTGAAGATTTATTTATAAAATGTGTAACAAAATAAGCTTTAAAATGTATAAGAAAACCTAAGAGCTGAAAACTCAAATTACAGAAAGGAAAAAGAATAAAATAGAAATAGGAAAAAATAAGTCCACTGTTTCATAGATAAAATTAGATGTTTAAAATATGCTTACAATATAGGCACATTGAACAGATAAGATAAAAAGAAAAAAGCAGTAACAATTTAAAGAAATAATTGACTTTAGAGAATTTGATTGGATTTAAGGAAAAAAAAATGTTTTGTCATCTTTCTCAAAGTCAGCTATGTCATTTATTTGTAGTGAAGTAAAGTGATTCAGATGAAAATCATAGAAGCTAGGTAAATGTTAAAGAATGCGTTAGAGTGAGTTAAAAAATAAATTTTAAAGTTTATGCAGTAAGAAGCTAAATTGATAAGTATGCATTGCAATTCAAAAATGAAAAATGCTTTTATTAAATAAATATGTGAGTTTAAGTAATAATATGAACCCTGAGGTATAGCAGTAATGATTTTGAACTGTTATACCAGATATTGGGCCACCATGTAGTATTGTTGAATTAAATCAGGTATGGAAAAACAGATATGGAAATAAAAATGCAATACTAAAATATGTGACAGAGAAAATAAAAGATAAGATAATGACAAATGGCAAACAGAAGAAACATTTGATGTAAGCAGTGAAAAAATAGAAACTGAGTATAGAAAATGTTACAATGTAAAAATGAGTGGTTAGTAAAGGAACACTAGCATAGATGAGGAGAAATGTAAAGTAAAGCATAATCTGAAGCTAAAGAAATTATTTAGAAGGACACTAAAGAAATAGAAAATTAAACATATTTACATATGATAAAATGATTATGAATTAGAGAAAAATAAACTGTTAAAACCGTAAAGAGGAAAAATAGATGAGAGGAGTCTCCATTTGATGGAAAAAAATGGGAAAGAAGGAAAGACTTTTATAGGTCATGAGCTAAATTCCATATATTAATTAGGAGGACAAAGGGATGGACTTTGGGGGACTGTGGTCTCTTATCTACTAGACATCTCTGAGGGCACTGGCAAATGGAAAAGGTGTTTGAAAAACACAATGGACAAACTGTTGGCTGTGGACATTTGTGAAAGCAGTGAGGCAGACACTGCATGCCCAGGAATTACTGAGGACTGGAAAGGCTACTTATGTTCAGAGACACTAAAAAGAGGCAAACAAGCTAATGATGAACTGATCAAAGAGAAAAAGCGCTCCACCAGAACTTTACAACAGCTCCATGAAAGAAGCCAGCACTAAGAGAGAAGGGGGAAACACTGTGCCCTGATATGGACACCACAGAAAAGACTACACCAATCTTTGAACCAGTTGTCTTCTCAGGGTGTGAGGAGGGGGAGTCTGGCAGTCCATCTCAAAGCAGTCGACCTATAGTCCAAATTGAGTACAATGTGACCACTCAGAGGGCAAAATAAGAGCAAAAGTGTAGCTACCCATTCTTGTATCAAATCAGACTCCTGTCAATTTGATAAAAAGAAAAGTATCACGTAAACTGTAAGAAAAGTCTTAGATGATAATGTACAATGAAACTTTAAATGTGTAAAGTTAAAATGATAAATTATGAAGAATGTTAAATTATTTTGGTTCATTTTCATAGATTAACTCATAGAGATTATTGAACATAAGAGGATAAATTATAATGCATGGTGGTGATAAAAAAGATAATAAAAGACAGTTTTTGATAACTTAAAAAAAAAATTTGGGTTAGAAGTTGATGGAATTAAATATTTAAGTTATAAATTAGGGAAAACTTATTTTGTGTAAACTAAACCAAGATTTGAGAGAAAAATTATGTCAGAGATTAAGACAGAAAAGTAATTTATATTTGAAGGGAATGAAAAAAAAAAAAAAAAAGTGAAATGAACTCACAGTACTGAATAGGTCAAAAAGTAACAATTCTAAATGTACTAAAAGAATATTTGAAAGAGAAAAGTGTTTAAAAACAGAAAATAGGTTGTTTTACATATGTGAAGAAATAATTAAAAGCAAAAAAGGATTAAGGACTAAAGATGAATAATCAGATCAGATAGAGAGGAACCTATAAAGAAATCCAGTGATTTTTCAGTCAACTTGTAGAAAATTACTACAAAAAATGTATGTACAAACAGTGTGATGTGAAAGTAGGAAGGAATTGGAGCTGAAAATGCTGAAAAGTGAAAAATGGTAATAATATAAAATGCAAAATAAGAAATAATTTAGGTAAATGTCAAATTTTAATAATGATTAACAGTTCAGGACATTAAGGGAAAACAAAATTAGCCAGCATAGGGATGATTAATAAAAAATTAAACCAGATGCAGGTCTGTTATATGCTGGAATAGGCATTATTGAAACATTTGAGAACACAGCAATAAGAGAAACACTCAGATATGTTATGGCATTTCTAATTAAAGTCAATTTTAATTCGGTTGTGTGACGAATAAAATGGATTCTATTTGATTTTGAATTGAATTTAAATTTTGATTATGGCATTAGTCAAAACAGACAAAAGAAATGTTGTAAAGTTAATGATTTAAGAACAGTCAGTGAATTTCTTAGCAGAGGTTCCTAACACGCACTGTACTTAAATTTGTTAGTTTGGATGCCAAAAATGTTAAAGTAATTAATTGATTTCTGTTTAGGTAATTAACAGAGGAGGGTAGACACTTGGTTACAATTAAAGTAAATAGGCGGATATACATACATACATTAGAATGCATAAAAGGATTTAGAATATTTTGCGATGGATATTGTAACGTGTAGGATTTAGTTATCTGCAAGTACATCTAGCTCAAGCTAAGTAAAAGACATAAATAAAACTTTTTAGGGATGACGGGTTTAGTGTTAACAAGATTCTGTATCTAATCTAGATGCAATAATAACTGTTAAGATGATAAATAAGAAATTGATTTTACATTCAAGAAAATAGGGTAGCAGGTCTAACAATAGTATAGAGTCACAACCTTAATTAGATTATAGTACAAATAAACAATGTACTAGTCTTTATGAACATGTGTAGCATCAAAGGGAAGCAAAAAAGATAGGTATGATTTTTGTAATAGGAAGTACAGATTGTTGAGGCAACAGCATTTCGAGATATTGGCATTTGAGATGTACATGGTTTGAATCAAGGGTGAAGTGGTAAAGAAAATTGAGCAGCAAGGATAATGATCTCCTTTTTGAATGCAGTGATTGGTGAATTGTTGTCCACATGTGACATCTGGGCAAAGTAGAATGTGAGTAAAAGATCAGCAATAGGCCTAAGGGGATATTCAAGAACTTGATTGTGGATGTTGTGAAATGATAAAATTAGCTTAGGGCAAGAGATACAAGTTTTTTTTTTTTTGGGAATAACAGTTGTGTAGATGAGTGAAGGTAATTCCATCAGCAAAGCAGGGAAGAAGGAACAGTTATTACATTTAAGATAAGAGAAGTCTCAGATTTGGAATAACCTCTGAAGAAAGTTCAAATAATGTGTCTGTAGTTATAAATTAATTAGAGTAATTAAAGTTAATTAAAGTAAATAAAGGTAATTAAGTAGATAAATAAGTGTATATGTGATTCAGTGAATAGATAAGTAAATGTATTGATAAAGTATTGGAAATCAAGAAAATTGAGAAATTGCACATAATTGTAAGGAATGATTGAAAGAGCTAAAGATGATTCATCAAGGCCTAGTTTAACAAGATGTGTAAAATAATAAACTTGACTGGATTGCTTTGTTACTTTTTTGCATTAACAAGTGATTGCATGAAAAATGACAGAAACAAGCAACTAACATTGCATGAAGTACTATTGGGTCGACCCTTGCATGTAATCTCCTATTTAACCTTGTGGAATGTTTGGAGAACATTTCTAATGCATTGGAAAGAGGTTTGGTCTTTTATGAGGAAACTAACTGCCATGTGCAAAGCGATATCTGTACAGGAAACCAGAAAGGACCAGAAGCAGGAGATTAATTCGGTGATCGAGTATATCTGAGGTGTTCTGGAGAAAGTGGAGTGAAGTCAGGAGAAATGGACCTTATGCCAAGGTTGTCAAAGGGGATGCCATCAACTGGATACCATCTGGACCACAGCACAAGACAGCCAAAGGAAAAAGCTCCAGCAAGAGAAAGCTAACGGGAAACAGAGGAGGCAGAAATTCTTGAAGCTCAACGAAGTGCAAAGTGTGGCAGAAGGAGTTCATCAGAACAGTTAAAAGAGTAATTCTGATTATATACCTGAGTGAGAAATACAGAAGGTGCCACAAATTCAAGTGATGATAATCACCACAACTTCAGGTTATAGACTCTCAACATAAAGTCTTTAGCAACACTTTTTAAGGCCTGAACGAAACAAAGAATGCTCGCAAGTATGTGCCAGATTTAGGGTCAAAAAGATGAACTAGTGCTAAAAATTTTTATAGTTTAGATAAAGAAGAGGATGATGAAGAGGATCCATGCCTTGGGTGCTAAGTGCTAGTAACCTCTACCCCAAAACGGCGGCTCTCTACGATACGCAAAGTATCTGGGCTGAAGATCAACGTACTCTACGGATTATGTGTGTGGATGTTAGATTAGAATATTGTGTTGTGACCCTAGATTGGGAGATTGTGCATGTCTATTTTTTGTTTTAGTTTTATTCTTTACTGTATGTTAAATAATCATGACCCCCAGAAGCAAATAGATAACTAATTGTATGCTTAAAATACTACTTTTATGATGATATCAACAAAATAGAATCAAGTCTTTTACTGTGTCCTCGTCAGAACAGGACACAGAGGTTTGGCGTGATTCTATTCCAAAGTGCAATTACATGATTTGGTCATTTGTAATAATACTGTGACATATATTTGTCATTAGGTAATATGGCTGAGGGCTAGATCATGAAGTTGCACTATGGGCCAAAAGCAAGAATATTAAGACTTAAAGTCTTAAGAGGAGGGATTATATGAGGTGGATTTTGTGCTCTTTGGAGTGTGAAGTTAATCTATATATTCAGGTTATATGTGTATAATCTGCTTGTAGACTTGCATACCATTAAAACAATTGGAAAGGGGAAATGGCCTGAGGAAACAACTAGGGGTCATAAAAGAAGGGATGAAAAGAGAGTGGTAAAAGAGCCTGAGGTGTCTCAGGAAACAGATGTCAGAGGTGGTATTTGGGGTCAGGGGTTAAACTAGGAGGTATCTTGTGTAATATATGGAGAACAAAGGAAAACAACGGATGTAAAAGGGTATTTAAATAAGCCAAGAACAGGAGTGAGGCAGAATTTTTCAGACAGAGATGCTACTGGGGGTCTCCTGAAAGTTCTCCTTTGTTGTCGACAATAAAGTATATTCTTCTGATATTCATAACCTCCAGACTGAGTTTGATTTAGTAAGAGAATAACCAAGAAAACCACCACACAGGAAAGATGACATTATTGTGAGATCTGCTCCCATGCTGACGCGCGTTTTTCATCTTTCTTTCATCTCCACGGTTACAGCCAAGTAGCGCGTTGTTGCCACGCCATTTTGGTCAGGTTTCCCAAGAGTTGAAGTGCAGGGGCCTGAGTAGTTGTTTGTACGCAGGTGTGGCTGGTTGGTGGGCTGTGGCTCAGGAGGTAAACAGACAACCAGACCAGTGTTTTCTGGTACCTGAGGTTGCAAGCATGGTGGCACTGGCTGCTTCTTGGGGGAAGCGTGATGCTGCAGTTAGATACACAGTTTTTAGCTTGTGTTGGACTCGTAGTACTCTGCGGGGATGGAGCAGAAAGCAGGTGTTCAAGGGGGTAAATGGTTTTGGACCCCCCTCTAGTCATAAGGAGTCTGGCTTGACTTCTTGTAGGGCCCCTTTGGCTTTCTCTGGCGTGTAACTAGCTGGATGCTGGTTGCTTGAGCTCCTAGCTACTGCAGGTTGGTCAATCCTTGGTTGCTGTTAGGCTCCTTTTGGGCTGCCTGTGGAGAGTGGCTTGTCCCAGTGTGTCTCTGAGCATCCTGTCTGGTGTTGGGACATGCGCCTTCCAACAGTAGCGTGCCTTTTAAAGTCAGCTCCGGATGAGATTCTGAGACAGGGTAGCTTGTAGGTGTTTGACAGCCTTTCAAAGCAGTCTTTGTTTTTAACAGATTTTATGAGCTAAACTCTGCTGCTGTTGGGTGGTCAGGGCGTGGGGGCAGGGCATTGCCCAAGTGCGGACTCACCACAGAAAGCAGGCTTTTGAGAGAGAGAGGATCTGGAAGGTGAACTCCTCCTCCGTCCGTGGCTCATTTCCTGTCTTGAAGTAGGGTTGGTGTAGTCGACTGCAGTATGCTTGTGAGGTCTCGTGGCTGTTTTGAGACCCATGGTGAAAATCAGTCCTTACTCTGACACGGGGTCAGGTAAAACACTCTAGTAAGAGCTCTTGCATCGGCTCGTAATCTGCTTTGATGGCACGGCGCTGTTGATTCAGGAAGCTTCTTGCCTCACGGCTTGAAGTAATTCTTAGCAGATACAATTTGTCAGAGAGAGTGGCACTTGGCCTCGCCTGTGTAAAAGTCAATGTCTTAGAATTAGGAGTGCGTGTCGTCGCCTCCAGCAGGGTTTTGGGGTGAAAGTTGGCCTTTCCCTGGCCAGCTGGTTCAAAGTCTTTGGTTGACAGATGTTGTCTGTCGTGGGGGACCCCTTTGGAGGGAGTCCTGGCCCTGTGTTGCTGACGGGCGTTGCTGGAATGCTGGCTGGCGGGGCAGTATGAGTTGGATTCACCCCCCTCTGCTGGTCTATCTAGTCTTGGCTTTTGGGGCTGACTGCGGCACTTCCCCTTTCTGGTAGTCACATGGCTTGTAGGAATGTGACAGTTCTGGGTGAACTCTGTCAAGTTCATGCATAAAGTCTCTTTGTTGGGTTCCGTGTTGGAATTTTGCTCGGGCCCTCAGCCGTTGACTTTAGAGGCTTTTACCCGAGCTTCACTGTCTTTAGTGCTGCTCTTTACAATAGTGTTTCAGCTTGTAGCTTTACACTCAGTTCATCTTTGGTTTTCTCCTCTCGTTGCTCCTTGTGTGCGTTGTCCGCTTGTAGCTGTAGTCCATCCATTTGCTCCAGAAGTTCAGCGTCCTTTTCCCTCGTCGTCTTGCAGGCGTCCTGGGCTCGATGCTCCAGCTGGTTGAGACCCTTTCCTATGGGTCTGGCCGGTGCAAGGGTGAGGTGTGTCAGGGCCCTGGAGAGTTGAGTCTGGGCTTGGCTGTCATGGCTCCGGGTTAGGTCGTTCGCCCTCAGCGAATTAATACAGACGTCCAGCTGTTCTCTGCTTGGCCGCTGCAGCTCCATGGCGTCGTTGGGCAGGAGGTTGTGGGTTAAGCACTTAACCAGGCCTCCAGTTGGTCCCAGTGAGCAGCGGGCTGGATGCACTTGACATGCTGGTCTGTTGGGTGAGACAGAGATCACAAGGGAGAGAGAGAGAGAGACCCACATGGCCAAATCGAGTGGATGTTTGCATTGTGCTATATTATTAGTCTGACAGGGTTGTCAGCTAGAGGGTATGTGCCGGCTAGACGTTGGTCCTTCTAAGGATCCACTGGGGACCGGACAATTCGGATGTCGAATTTGGGTGGCTAGATAACAGTTGATATCTACGTACTGGCCTCAAGGCTTTTAGTCGTGCGCCAGGCTGTGCAAATTATCAATCAATTATTTAAATCACCCTGGTGGTTCTCAATAGCGTGGTCTCTGAGCAGGTCAAAGTAACTAAAAATAATTAAGTAAATAAAATACCAGTAACCCAAAAAAAAACAAAAATAAATAAATAATACTAAAAGATAAGTTAGACAAAAAGGCATCTCGCTCGGATGAACGAGTGTACGGGGAAAGAAAAATGAAAGAAAATACTAATATGGATATCAGTAAATATGAATAAAAATAAAACAAAAAGACAGACAAGGATGAGAAGAGAGAGAGAGAGAGAGAGAGAATAGCAAAACCTATGGGCATGTCTAAAATGTTCGTTTTATAGTCCTGTAGTGGGCTAGGTTTTACATGCTATTTACACTTGGTGGTGAGTGAAAGGCATTCAGATGAAGGTCGCAAGAGCGTGCTATCTGGTTAGACTTTCCCCAACTCCTACTGCAGTCGCTATCAGATCAATTGCCTATAATGTAACTCTGTTGTGAACTCACACAGTGTAGGCTTTTAGCACAATACGTAGCACTCAAGGAAGTCATTGACCACCTGGCATGATTCAAAATTGGGTTTTGCCTGATGATTCCGGTGCCGCTCTAGGCCTGTAGAATGAGGTGGCCAATCTCACTCAGGCGGGCACGTGTGTGGAATCATGACAGGGTAATTAACCAAGATTGACCGTATGCCAGTGGGCACGGACAGTGCTTCTTGGAGTACGATTGCTGATGCCACTGTGATCCACACAAGCCAGAGTGACAAAACGCCAAGGTATCTAACGCATCCTTCAGCAGGGGTCAGTTATGTCAGACAGATGAACCCAATCTTTTGATCTGCAACCTGAATAACCTGTACGCTTAACCACACAAGCACAGAGGACTCGGGTCCGGATACGGGCAGTACTATGGATCTACCATTCTGGGCGAGCCAGTTGGAGTAGGAATCTTAGTATGCTGTAGTATCTGATGGATAGAGAAGGTTATCACCCTGTGATGGAGGGTGGCTAAAGGAAAATTAAATCGGCATAAAAGAATTTAAAAGAATAATCATAATAATCCCCTATAGGTAAAAGCAGTACAGGATGGCTTAGAAAAAGTAGAAAGAGTGCCTTAGTATTCAGGGGCATCTACAAAAATTAATGGGTTAGGCCAAAATGTTTTGATCAGATGTGGGATCTATAGATCGATAGCTCTGAATTTAGCTTCAGACTAATACTTGCCCTTATATAGTAATACTTTCCCTATAACCTAACCGGTAAGGGAATAGATAAGGCATGAGGAAAAGATGGAAAAAGAAAATCAAAAGGGAAGAAAAATTATGCCTATTAATGATAATAATAGAGAGATTAAAGGCTGTTTCCCAAATAGCAAAACCAACAAAATTAAAATTAAACATGACCTAAGTTTAGAATAGATTATTGGGAACTTAATTAAAAATCAAGTAACAACAAAATAAACTGGACAACGGTATTAAAATGAAAAAGACAGAAGGCTGAAAATTAATTTAAAAAATTGAGAGTAACAAAATAATTCATAATACCAAAAGAAATAAAAACAGGCCAATAATCTATACTTAGGTAACTAAACTATTGTTTGGATAAAATGATAACAGGGAAAATAAAATGCTTAATCGAAATTAAAACAAATTAACTCCAAACTGTTTGACCATTTCAGACCACTTGAGACACAATGGTGGGCGGAACTGATGTGAGAAGAGCAGGAGACAGGGGGAGATGTTTCAGAGTTGCACTTCACATTCGGTTAGCCTTGTGCTAAAGTTTGTTAATGTTATAAAATGTGAAGGGTTAGTTTGCTTAAGCTTTAGCTGGCGTTAGCCGCTAGCAAGTTGTTACGAGTTACGCTTCGCATCCGGTTAGCCTTGTGCTAACAGTTTGGTAATATCAAGACTCGAAGGGTTAGTTTACTTAAGGCTAGTCGTTAGAAGCTAGCGAGTTGTTTTGCCCTGTGATGTAAGCCGCGTCACACACTCTGCCTCCTGAAGGCGGGTCTGATGCTTTAGGTGTTGGCTACGTCATTCACGCATGCGTGCGCGCGTATGAGTTACGTGGACGAGGAGTCAATGAGCGCTCGAAGAGCCATTTTTTTTTTTATGAATGAAAGGAGCTCTCATTCATAACTTGGTGTGCGGCTGACTTCACAAAGGCAAAGCGCGAACCACTAAGATTCGCATAAAAGGTCATTATATCATGTTGCCGTAACACTGATAATAATATTTGACCATTACAATTAGACAAACAAACATAAAATGCGAGACGTCTCTCGAGGCGGTGCACGTTTGTACACAGATTTGGTCCGGACGAACATAACTAAAATATGGGAATTTACATCCATATCAGATTTTGGTACCATTTAAAAACACGCTTATGGTTCTGAGAATTCCTTTCGTCAGAAAGCGGTTAATAGGCAAGCTTGCAGCTCCCAAATACATTAATTTAGAACTGTCCAGCAGTTCTGAAATTAATTTAGCACGGCGGCGAAGCAAAGAGGTTAAACGTTAGGCAGCTAATCTAACAGTTTGAAACCACGGGGGAAATAGTCTAGAGGTTTATGTCTAGCTATAAGAAGGCCTTTTAAACGGACAGGTTTGGGGTTTCCAAACTGTCCCACAAGCACTGAGGGAGGTGTATTTTCCTCCGACAGGCACACTAATATATTTAAATGATTTGCGGAACGTGCGTCTCAGCAAAATCGATTTAAAATATGGTAACACTTTATTTTGATGGTCCCCCTTTAGATAGTCTGTTGACCATAAGTTACTTTTCAAGTTCTTATCTGTTTACTCTCATCTGGGTAGTATCTGTAGATTGTTTTTTAAATGTTTCTAGGCAATCATTACAATGTCTACAACATGTAAACATTTATTAAACTTTTGGTAAGTTGTGTTACCAATATAGGTTCTAGATAGT